GAAGAGGAGGAGGTAGAAGCGACTGAGTGTGACCTTGCTGTAAAGGCAGTGACGAAGCTGGAGGATGAGGAGGACACGGGGAAATGGGAGGGGGCACCCCCAGGCACTCCGACACAGATTTTCAATGAGGAAGAGCGAGAGAACAGAGCTGACGTGAAGGAGTTGTCAGCGGCACTGTCACTACCTTTGGTCAAGAAAGAAAGAGATGAATCTGCACTCAGTCCCACACTAATGGAACCTCAAGCTGAGGAAGATGTAAAAGAGGAAGGCAAAGGAGCTGCAGACACCTGTCAGACACTGCAGATGGACCACGAGGAGGGCAACAGAGCGGATAGTGCCCCTTCAAAGCCATCACAGCAGATTAGGAAGGAAAGTGATGTGGAAGAAGAGAGGCAGCACAAAACATCAGGACAGGGCCTGAAAGAGAAAAGTAAAGAGAGTATACTGAGCACTTATAACGCGCCCCAAATCAAAAAGGACAAAGATAAAGGCAGAAGAGAGAAGGATGAAAAGGAGAGGGCGAAAGAGAAGGAGAGGAAGGAAAAGGACAGGAGTAAAGAGAAGGAAAAGGATAAAAAAGACAGGGGGAAAGACAGAGAGCGAGAGAAGGACCGGGTGAGAGAGCAAGAGAAAGTTAAGACTGAGGGAGGACGAGAGGGTTGCACAACGACGCAGATACTGCCGCAGATGAAGAAAAAAGAGGAAGAGGAACGGACGAGAGAGGGCGGTAAAACCGCGCCAACCAACCCGTCAGCTCAGAGAGACGAGAAGTGGGCCAAGGAGTGGGACTCAAAAACGCAATCCCATGTCAAGAGAGAGAAGGAGCATGACAAGGACCGGGGAAGCACGCCCGCTGCGGCTCACCCACGGCCAGACAGAGAGGAGGCTCGAGACTCCTGCACGCATAAACACAAGTCTTCCCATGGGAAGAAGGAGAAGAGTGGCCACAGGGAGGGCAAAGACAGCAGCGCGCTGGGAAAATGGGGGAGAGAAGACGGAAAAACTCACAAACCTGCGAACGTTCAGGTTAAGAAAGAAGTAAAGAAGGACAGAGATGTCAGCAGCAAAGAAGAGAAGAAGAAACCTGCTTCTGGTCCTGCCCAACTAGAACACAAACAACCACGGACACTTGTCACCTTTGACCTTTTTAAACCCATGGAGGCCCATCAAACTTTGGCTCTTTCCTTCACGGACAGTAGACCCAAGAGCCACCATCACAGTGACTCTCGAGGCTCCTCGTCTAAGCCTGCATCTGACAGTCGGACAGTTGCGCTCTGTAAAGGACCAAAAGTAAAGGACTCGGTGCCGGGCAAGCCCGGGTCAGCGCTACAGGATACAGCGCCACAGCAGCACTTATTAAAACAGCCCCTGAAAACACACACCCCCCAAACACAGAAAGACTTCTTAATATGAATGTCTAGATGTCTAGTCTGCTTTTCTTTTCCTTTTTTCTTTTCTTTTTTCTTTTTACTGTACAATTTGCGCCAAGGCTTTGGTAAAATATTTCAAAGTGCATCCTTACTTCAGATCCCACAAAAGTGAGCGAAAGCTGCTTTGACACTGCCAGACTTCCTGTGACGCAGTGAAACGAGGGTGCGCTCTGCAGGTATTTTAACAAGGTCTAAGAATGTAAGCTAAGTAGCTCACTTCACGTTTGTTAGCAGATGTACGTAGGCTTTATATAAAATGTTATGTGACCCCGTGTGTCAGTGCCTGTGCACTACTTAGCTTCGCTCTTAAAGCACCTATTTTAGGTACTGGTCTCGCCAGTCTGAAAACAACCATCCGTACTCCCCTGCTGTAAGAACGACCTTTGTTCAGTGTTTGAGACATCAAGGAGATCCCTGTGATCTCTCTCAAATCATCTGTTTATCGTTGCTCATGCCGATTTGGAGGTTTGTTATTTTTAAACCTTCATATCAGAGCAAGTAGTTGTTTTCAGACTGGACTGTTGGACTCACACAGGGCTGTAAATGATACTGTATGTACCAAAACTGTACAGTATAGATGTTATTAGCACCAATGTGAGAAAATGTATACAGAAATTGCATATATTTTTTGTAAGACAGGTTTTATTTTCCATAGAACTTATTTATATCATTTACTGTCTGTTTTTATTTGAAACCGATGTATGTGAAAATTCTGTTGTAAATACATTTTATTTCCTAAGAATTGGTAGTGTGATTTATACTCTGATCAGAACCTCTCAATAAATGGTTCAAAATGTTGACTTGGTCAACGTTAAAAGTCTCGCCTGTGTTTTGTATCAATGAGGTCACAGTCATTTGCCTTTCTGGCTGCTGGGTCAGGCATGCAAAGCAACAGTCAGGGCACAAGGCAGGTAAAGAAGAGCGTGGAGGCAGGGGTGGAGCAGAAGGATATTAAGATAGTAGTTAGACCTGTTATAATGGTTTGGAGATGGTTTTGTTACATAAAGTCAAGAGAAGAGGTGAAGATGCTTGTGTTTTCACTGGGAGTGACCAGGACAGGATTACAAATGAGTAGTTTGTGTGAGAGGGCAGGATGATAGGTATAGGATGAGATGGAGGCAGATGACCCCCTAAAGGAAGGGTCAAAAAGAAACCTCCGATTATGGCAGGATGTATTCTAAATATGCTGTGAGTGTGAACTCTAAGCCCCTCCCACCAGAGAAAAACAGTAAAAATAAGTCACTGCTTGCTTTTGGCTCCATGTTGAGCAAAACTTGACTGGATCCTAGAAGAGGTGGCACTGTGGTGTTGTTGTCCAGAAGGAATCCCAAATGTGGATAAATTGAAGGGTTACATCAGGAAAAATCTATGCCAAATCAAACACGAGAATCTCAACTTCTTGGAGCATAAGGAAGCAGCACCTTCTTAACTTTAATTTTTATTTTCTCATCTAATACACCCTCCTGACCTGGAAATCAGTATGCTGTGCTGCAGGATCTCTAGGTTCCTAAAAATGCATCTGGAGCATAGGTTTGCTGGACAAGTTACAATAAAGGATACAAAGGTGTATAAGAGGAGTGTGACACACAGCTAGTGTAGTAGGAGGAGGACTCGCACACAATCACAAGTTGTTAGCCAATGAGCGTGTCCAGAAAATCCACATCTCTGTCACATAGACAGCCCAAAATTTACAATTTTATTCAATATAACCTGAAACAGAGGTTATGTCTAAGAATCATTTTCACACAGTCTTTGTAGCACTGGAAATGCTCTTGCAACCACAGATATCACCCCCTGGTGGCCATTAAAAAGAATGCAGGTTAAACGTACTTCGACATCGGCTTCACTTGTCAGCTGTAGATATCTCAGTCACTCTGAGATGACTGGATTTTTAAAAAATTATTAAATTCTATCATGAATTTTATAATTTTATTTCATGTCTCTTCATCCAGAGACACCACAAACACACTGCATCCTGGAATTCAGCCTTTTCCTGCTATGAAGGCTCAAAAGACTTTTAAATACTGACCTGCAGCAAGGTTGCACTTACTCTTAAATCTCCCTGGGTCATTTTGTTTGCAAACATGACATAAAACAGCCGACAAAATGATGAACAGTGACATTTTTTCCTGGCTTTCAAAAAGATGTCTACAGCAGTTTGTACAGTGCAAATTACATTTAATATTAGCAGATGGGGGAAGTTCTCATCTACATTCAAACTGTTGCTGACAGAGTGCAGCTAATGTAGAAAAGTTAAGATCAATGTTTTGTGTAGCACATGTTTGATCAGCCAGACTTTTTACCTGGCTCTTAAGTTTAATCCATTCCTTACTAATGACTAAAAATGAGCTAAAAGGCAGCAACACATGTCCAAAAACATGTCCCAAAATAACACTCTGATGCCGCCTGAAGCAGGTGAAGGTGAAGCAGAGCCTGCGTGCCCCAGAGTGTAGATGTCACTAACCCAGTGAGTCTGCACTTACAGCAAAGGAACAGTGTTTTAAATAAAGGTCAGCATCTTCCTTCAGTGATGTATCCTTCGTCACAGATGCCTGAGTATTTAAAAAAAAAAAAAAAAAAGTTCACATTCTGGCAATTTCAGTCTCTCCTATAGTGGAAGACGCTGTAGCCCAGCTCTACCAGTGCTCCACCCAGCAGCACCCACAGAGGGATGCAGACCACACTGATCCACACTTTTGTGTGCCCCTCCATGCGGGAGCACAGAGTCAGGCAGAAGGCCAGCTTTAGCAGCAGGGCTGTTAGGTACCACAGCCTCCTCTTCAAGCTCTGCTCACCCTCCCTGGGGTCAAAGTCCGGCTTGCAGCGGCCTGCCATCTTCACTATCAGCATGAGGATGAGGATGCTGTCAAAGGTCCAAACAGGGAGGAAGATTAGGAACCAATTCCAGTGGATTCTGGAGTCCAGCTTGAGGACCAGCAGGATCAAGAAGATCAGAGCAAATATCCATGAGAGGAGCACTCGCTGGGCCAGGGACATCTTCATCTGTGGAGGACTGGCACAGAGCCAGTGTCACCCACACCCAGAGAGACTGAAGAAGGTGAGGAGGAGGAGGAGAAGCACAGTCAAGGTGATCTGAAAACACAGCAGAAGACAGCACAGGCCCGTCACTCCTTAATTATAAACACATGACTGAAAACTAGACCTCCCCCACTAGGAAGCAGACCCTCACGGGTCTTGTAGAGAAATCCATCTCCTGATACTTCCACTCAGTATTAAAGCAAACATAAAGCTAATGTATGTTAGCAAGCTGTAGCTAACTTGTAAAACTGACCCCACTGTTGGCAGTCTTACCGAGTTCAGCAGCAGAGTCAGCTCGATGTCTTTAACCCGGGGTTTCAACGACAAACTCTTCAAACGAAGACAAATACCAAAATAGCAGACAGACTGAAAACAGCGGCGAAGAAATGCGACAAAACGTTAGCTTTCAGCTACATACGGCCGACAGTTACCCTGCATTTCCGGTTAGTCCTTTCAAAACAAGTGCACGTCCTAAATAAAATTACATTTATCCTTTTCAAAACAAAACCGTGATTTTGTCAATCTGTTTTTGGATTGGGTCTTCACCCACTCATAGCAACCTAGTGGGGATCTAACCAAACAAATGCTTGATTTTAAATTTTTTTTTTTAAAGGTCCACTTACTTGATTTCTTCCCTCCAGCAACTCAGCAAACACCATCTGCTGTGCTGATAAAGATTACATGATGTAGCTGAAAGGATTTAATAGTTCCAAGATTAACCCGAGGGGAGTTAACAACAAAACGAAAGCTGACTGACTTCAGCATTTCACACTTATAAATATAAAATGTAAATAATGTGTTCTTCCTGGTCTTTTTGTTTGTTTGTTTTATAGAAGTGGTACAGGTTTAAACTAGGGAGGGGGATTTCTACAATCTTGGTTACAACCTAGATTGCAAGGGGAACTTGGCTAAACAAAAATAAATAAATAAATAAATAATAATCCAGCTTCAGCTGCAGAGCCCCCCTTCATAAAAACCAAAATATGTGTTGTACAAAGGCAGGGCAGACATTTATTTCTAATAAAATGCTTTTGCAGAAAAAGATGCACCATGTTTTCTTTTTATATTCCTCAAATGCATTTATTTCTCTTTTACTGGGCTAGTATTACAAATTAATACAAAGTACAACTCCAGAGACATCATAGATTGTCAAAAAAGTAAAGTACAAAACGCTTGAGGTAAAACATCATTGAAAAAGATTCAGTTAAAAAGCCCTTATTAAAATTTAAGTTCTTTTCAAGGTAAATGCTCACTTTACAGCTTCTGAAAAAAAAATAAAAATAAAAACAAATGCAGTTTTATTTACAAGATAGTGGTGGTGCAAAATACAGTGTGTGAGACAACATTCAGTCAAAATCTTCATATCTTTGTCAAATGTAAACAATAAACATTGTCCTGTTCGCCAAAATGCCGTCACACTGATGTTTGCTCTGAAAAGACTCTACGAGCGCCGCTGACGCATGAGAGCAGAGGAGCTCATTACTACCCGGCAAAAAATATGAAACTGTTCGACATTACCACATTTACAAAGCAAATCCACGAAATGGATTGTGTATGAAAGGTTTCTCTAGGTAACCGTGGCAGCTTTCTCCTCTGCAGAGATAAGAAAATCCTTATCATTTCAAATTTTACTCTTACTTAAGAGCACCTCTGTGGGGCAACGGATAAGTCTGATAACACTCCGTAGTTTTATTAGTTTTTATATTGTTGACAAAACCCATCAAGAAAATAAACAGTGTATCAGTCTGGGTGTGACTCTCACCTAAGCTCATTTATTCCTAGACCCAAGTCTTTAGAACCAAATTACAGCAGAGACGTTATAGGAGCGACACTTTTCTGCAACAGCGAACATGGTGGTAAATGTATAACGTCGGGGGAAAAAACTTTTTAAAACATTAATTTATTATTTAACTAAACTTTTTATGCAGTTTTTTAAGGTAATATTTCAAAATAACAGTCTAAAAGATGTGAGTCAATGGTGGCTATGAAATCGTGAGACTGCTCTGTGGTTTCACTTTACATATAATATAAGCCAACACTTCTGTAGTGCATAAAAGTAGAAATGCAAACAAAAGAAATAAGGAATGTTACAGTCCAAGTGTGTGGCTTACTGATATGTTCAAAAAACAATGGAGCACTTGTTCATAATCATCAATTCATTGCTCATTGTAGTCTTTTTAAGAGATTTTTTGTTGATAACAGTGAAAATGTGAAGTACCATCAGATGCATCCTCGAGTCCTTTAATAACAGTACCACTTATCTAACAATCGTGTTTTTCTTGTTTTTAAGAATGAAAATTTCATTCATCAGTGAAAGCACTTGGAAGGAACTAGTCAGGGAAACTTATCATACTTCAGCAAAAAACCCAAAGCTAAACAGTAAGATGGTACCCATTCGAAATGTACGATTTCTTGCCTCCAGAATAGCGGGGTGCATCCCTAAAGGCAACCACAGTTACACAGTGCTCTGCCTGCTCTCGTGGCTGAGGCTGAGCCCCATCACCTCTGAGGAGTGAGATGGGAAATCAATAAATATCCCGTCTGGGCCTGAGTCTGCAGACTCTAGCACTTGTCCAATTATGGTTTCAGGGCTGGATGATTCACTGGGCGGCGTAGAGGATGCTCCCTTACTGAGATCAGTCATTGTTGTTGTGGCCTCGGTGCCATGGAGAGCTCCTGAGGAATGAAGCGGGAGGATGGGGGGAGACAGCAGAGGCAAGTCCATGGCACTGGCTCCAGCTTGTACTATACCTATGAAGGAGATAATACTGGATTATTAAGGTTTAGCATATAATGATGCTTCATAATAATCAACACAGTGAGGACTACAGTCGTACCGTTGAACTGAGAGCCCACACACAGTCTGTTGGAGGAGGAGCCAGACAGTTCTGATCCTGGGGCCAGGTCAGCATAGGCCAGTCCTTGCTCCTCCAGGCACGATATAATCTCACAGGCCGAGTGACGCCGAATTCCTCCACTGCCAACCGAGTTGGCATCTGGGTCATACTCAGCCACTGGGGTCAGCAGCAAAGGAACATTGTAGCTCTTTGATCGTACCACGGGGTTTTTAGACGGTTGATCCGCTGACTTGGACCAGCCCCAAGGCTTCTCTGAAACACAAGAGGGAAAGATGGGAAGACGTTATTAAGCTTCACCTACCCTTCAACCCTGAAAACTGTTATTTTTATTCCGCTTCTGCCTCACCCAGAACATTGCAGTGAGCTTCAGCATCATCTCCAGAGTAAAGCCCATGGGTGCCCAAATAGGGCGAGACCACCTTCTGAATCAGTGACTCCAACCTCAGGTATTCCTCAGTCACACCACGCGGCTCATGGACCCCCTAAACACAGGCATTAAATTTTATATTTAGCACCGTCATACTCACAGATCACCCCTGTGGGCTGTTGGTGCTTAAGTTTAGAAGAGAAAAAAAAACTGTGTGACAATAAAAATATATATTTGTTTGAATAATGTTTGGGTTGCATGACTAAAAACTAATGCATTAACACAGTGTGTCACAACAAATAACCAGCAGATCAACTAATAATCAGTACATTTTATGAAGATGCGCCAAACTAAAAGTAATTTACTCAGAAACAACAGCAGTGTAGTACTTCTTTATCTTTATGAACACCTTCAGAATAATGCAGTACAATTAAACCTTATCATTAATGTTAGAAACAAGCTGGGCCAAAAATGCACAACAGCAGGTGTTTGGAAACAAACTCAGACTCGGTGCTGAGCAGCACATAAGGAAGCCACGAGCTTGGCTTGATGCCCGCAGGCCTACCTGTAGGATGAGCAGCATTTGTGTAACAGAGGGAGGCACACGGGCCCGCGGGCGAGACAGGGCGTCCTCTAGCTTTACGCTGAGCACTATGGTGTTCCTGAAGTGCAGCAGGGCGAGCTGTCGGACAGAAGGCTCCTTACCCTGCGCGCAGAAAACAGCAGACAGACTGAGCATCGATTCAATAAAAGGCTAGGACGGAGATCAGACTCTTGAGATGCTCGCCTACCTGAACCGGGTGGAAGATGGCCTGCAGCATTGAGAGAACATCACAGAAGAAGAAGTCCCAGGTCTCCGCCAGAGAGTCAAGTAACTTCTGGCCTGCATGGATCCCAAAGGAACATGCTCGAAGCTGAATTAAGCTGATTTCCAGTGAGATACGCTAATTTCTATTTATTTATTAATTTCAAGATTGCATACCTTCATAGAATCTTATTTTGTCCCGCAGGATGACCATGCCTTTCGTTAGCAGCTGATTCTGTGAAAAGAAGCCAGTAATTATGAATCACTGTAGAACTATTCTCCAATTCCCGTCTCAAAGAGCTCTGAATTTAATACATCTGAAATAAACGTCCTGTTTTATTTAAGGTGCATTACCTGGAGGTATTCTGTGAAGAAGGACCCCAGCTCAGTCTTTAAAAGATGTCTGAGGAAAAGGGACAAATGAATAAATACAGTTAGAAAGATAATAAGTGGTGTTGGGCTAATTATGTGTTTATAACTTTGTAAAAACAGTGCTTGGCAGCCATGTTATGTTCAGATCCGTCCGTGTAGTTATAGAAAAACGTGTCAACCTCCTTGTGACTTTTCTAGAAATATGTTTACCCAGCTATAATGGAAGCGGATACAAGTGATGGGTCTGGTTCAGAAAGATAATGAGATATCTGACGTGACCACATGACTCCCCAAGCCTACATGCTGTACACTACACACACAAACAAACCCGTTCACGAGGAAACATTCAGTCAACACATACAGCACACACGGTAATTACAACGATTACAGCACCAAATGACATCAACGGTCTAAAATAAGGAAGTTTTCTGAGAGCAGTGTTTGTGTGCGAGTCAGTGAGTCAGTGAGTGGGTGAGTGTGGCTGTTTACACTCACCGGACACCCTCATTAAGGACGTAAAGTTCATTATCCGCCAAGCCCTTCTTTTGGAAGACTGCTATCACAGCATTATGGATGCTGCAACATAACACACACACGAGCTGGTGTAAATTCAGAATCTCCACACACATTAAAACACTACCTTTGTCATATCTTGTGTACCTGTTCCAGGTGGCGTTGGCTCCTGCCCTCTTCTGCTTCTCCCCTCGGTCCTCCGGCGAACTTTTCTCACTCTTCCCCAGCTCACTGAGGCTGGGAGAGCTCATCAACTTCAGCCGGTGCAGAGTCCTCATGAGGCAAATGTAAAGGGAGAGAGACAGAGTATTCTAAGTACAGGACGGGAGAGAAAAAAGGTCAGCCGATGAGCCGACACATACAGAGACACACAGAGAGGAAACACGAGGAGGCAGCTGTAGGAGGAAGGGAGGGGAACATAAAAGGAGAGAATATGCTCAGGAAAATACCCAAAACATAACAAGCACAATGACAATACAAAGAGCAACCAGTGGTAGAGGAGGAGAGATAAAGGACAGAATGATGCA